AGCCCTGACGTTCAGCGTCCTGACGCTCTGCATGGAGACGTTGAATTTTCCTCATAGAGATGCATTGACTCAATGCATCTCTATGAGGAGGTCCTGATTGGTCAAAACGGCATTTGGCCACACCCCATGCCAATTTTAGCCAATCCAATGCTTTTTTTATTGGGGGAAATCGGCCATTTTGATGATGTCACAAAGGGGGCAGAGTCAGCATCGGCAGACCCGCACAGCGCTGGAGATAAGGTGAGTTTTAAACTTTTATAGGTGGGTTAAGGGGAGTGGGCAAGCCACCTTAATGGTGGGTTAAACACTATAGGGTCAGGAATACATGTTTGTGTTTCTGACCCTATAGTGATACTTTAATAAAAAGGTTAAACAGAAATAGTTAACTGAAATTAAAAGCAGGATCAATGGAGAACATGTTGCCAGGTGACTAAACTAGAGCATGGAACGGGAGGCTCAGCATGGGCGTCAGCCTATTCCCACTCGGAGTGGATCTGAATCAATGCTGGAGGTGACAGCCTTAGGTCTTGTGGCTTCTGTTGCCTTCCACAAAGATCTCCCATATTCCTCTCCTCTGTAATGCCCATTCTGGGTATAGCCTGCGTCGGGGCTTGCCAACTAACTGCTCGCCATGCGGAACGCTGATGCGGTCTTTGCCATCGTAGGGGTGTTCAGCTCGTGGGAGAAGTCACTGTGAGGCACAGGGTGCGAGAGGACTACTGTGCAGGAACTTCCAAACTTGCAGATGAGGTCTGCTTGTACTGCAGCTTGCTCCAGAAGGCATCAAATAGGGCCTCCAAGTGCTGGTCAAAAGATGGCAGCTCCGCACCAGGATTAAGGCTACTCATGGCGTCCACCATCTTAGGTGTGTTGCCGCTGGTCTCACTGGCATTGCAGCACAGCCATGTCTTCTTGATGGGGCTTGGAAGCCACAAGGGTGGGGACCGGTGTCAAGACCATATCTGGACCCTGCCGGCGCCGTATCAGGAGATCGGGTACCTCTCCTTTCTTCAGCTCCCACTGGGTCTCCCTTGAGCCAGGCACGCAAAACAGTTCTGAAGACCACTGGAACCGTTCCCTGCATGGTCTGAGAGCTGAAGTAGCAAAGAATATGTAGCATGTGTGTAGAGAACTGCTAGAACAGCTATATTAAGCGGATTGTTAAGTATGTCTCAGGGAGCTTTCCAGAGGCACGTCTAGGTGCCATGATGGTCAGGCCCCGCTAATTAATAGTATTTTAAATTAGGAAAGTGCTTTATATAACCAATATATATATATATACACACACACACATATATATATATTAAATATTTACATTAAAATCAAATCTAGTTTGTGATCAGTTTCCTTATTACAAGCAATCTGGCAATGTACAATACAACATTTGCCTAACTATAAAAGTCCTTATACATTGCAACAAAAACAGAGAATATGAGAATGGACAAAAGCTTAGAGAAACTCAGTAGCTTGCGGGTTAGTCCCTCTCAGATCTCAAAGTAGTTTTTGCTCACTTGTGCCATTACAGAGAGAACCTATTCCAAGGCATATTAAACTGATGCCACCCGTAAGGGGAGTCCAGAAAGAAAATGCTGGCAAGTTCTCTCTGCACCAAAGATACAGCAACCCAGACGATCGTTTCGGTCTTCTTTGGGCCTTGTCAGTGAGGTGTAGCTAATACCCCTCTAGGCACAGTGGCCACATGGTCCACGTCTGGATTACCGTTTTAATTTGGAGAGGTCCAAGTTACTGCATTGCAACAAAAACAGAGAATATGAGAATTTAGAGAAACTCAATAGCTTGCCCTCTGCTAAATCCCAGTTCAGGTCTCAAAATATAATTACATTGTAATTTTATTTGGTTAATGTCAAAAAAAATAAAAGTTCCTTATATGCCTCTTACTCATTATTCACACTGTGACTAATTAATGGATACTATAAAGTTTTTCTATTATGACAAATTACGGGACCAACAAAATCTCTACAAGAATTGTTTTTTAAACATGTTGTTTCTGCAAACTTAATTTTACTATTTATTTAATTGTAGAGAAATATTGGTCTTAAAATTGTTTTTTAAACTATATATATATACAGGGTATATTCAACTATATATATATATATATATATTATTTTTTATTTTATTTTTTAATTGGTTCATAATTTTAATATGTTGCTCATACACAATGTAAAGGCAATTAAAAATTATCCAATCCATAAAGATATATATAATTTATATAATTTTTAATTCTTAATCGTTATTTTTAGCTTTAAATCAGTTATATTTTTTAAAAATCTATATTTTATTTTTATATTTTTTTTATTTTTATGATTTTTATATTACCGCATATACTCGAGTATAAGTCGACCCGAATATAAGTCGAGACCCCTAATTTTACCCCAAAAAACTGGGAAAACTTATTGACTCGAGTATAAGAATAGGGTGGGAAATGCAGCAGCTACTGGTAAATTTCTAAATAAAATTAGATCCCAAAATTTATATTAATTTAATATTTATTTACAGTGTGTTTATATAATGAATGCAGTGTGTGTGTGTGTGTGTGTGTGTGTATGAATGCAGTGTGTGTGTATGAATGCAGTGTGTGTATGAATGCAGTGTGTGTGTATGAATGCAGTGTGTATGAATGCAGTGTGTGTGTGCATATGAGTGCTGTGTGTGTGTATGATTGCAGTGTGTGTGTGTATGAGTGCAGTGTGTGTGTGTATGAGTGCAGTGTGTGTGTATGAATGCAGTGTGTGTGTGTGTATGAGTGTAGTGTGTGTGTGTGTGTGTGTATGAGTGCAGTGTGTGTATGTATGAGTGCAGTGTGTGTGTATGTATGAGTGCAGTGTGTGTGTATGAATGCAGTGTGTGTGTATGAGTGTAGTGTGTGTATGAGTGCAGTGTGTGTGTGTGAATGCAGTGTGTATGTGTATGAGTGCAGTGTGTGTGTGTGTATGAATGCAGTGTGTGTGTGTATGTGTATGTGATGCAGAGCCTTGGTGGGGGGTGGGCATTTTTATTATTTTTTTATATTATTATTATTATTTTAATATTTATTTTATATATTATTAATATTTTTATGTTATTTTGTATTATTTAAATTTTTATGTTATTATTTTTCGTCCCCCCTCCCTGCTTAATACCTGGCCACTGAGGGGGGCTCTCATTCCCTGGTGGTCCAGTGGTGTGCACTGTGTAGGAGGGGGGCTGGCAGGAAGTGTTTAGTTACCTTTCCTGCAGCTCCTGTCAGCTCCTTTCTCTCTCCTCCGGTCCGGTCAGCTCCCCTGTCAGCTCCACTGCCGCGCGGAGCGTTGCCACGGTAAGCCGTGGCACTGCTCTGACCCCGCGGCTCTCGCAAGACTTACAGTGGAAGCTGACAGGGGAGCTGACCGGACCGGAGGAGAGAGAAGAGAGCTGACAGGAGCTGCAGGAAAGGTAAGTTACAGCTCTCTGCCAGCACCTAACAGGACCGCCGGGCTTGTAATGAGTCCGGCGGTCCTTGTCTGTATTATGGCAATGTAAGTTGCCATAATACAGACACTGACTCGAGTATAAGACGAGTGGGGGGTTTTCAGCACAAAAAATGTGCCGAAAACCTCGTCTTATACTCGAGTATATACGGTATATCTTTTTTTATTTTATTTATTACTTATTTATTTATACATATATACATATATTTTAATTATTATATCAATAGAAGAATTAAGTTAAAAAGCAATAATGTGCTTTTCATAATTTCTCACATTATTTTAAACTCATAATAAACTCAAGAAAGAAAACTAATTTTTACACTGCTCCTGAGGTAAACAACAAGAGATGGCATCAAAATATGATGTACCACAAATAAATCACAGTGCATTTTTAAAACAATTTTGAAGTCGAGTCCAGATAAGTACAATATGAAATATGAAGAAAAATATATGAGGGCCTTAAATACCGCCGACAGTTATCTCTTGTGTAATTTTCTGTAATGAGAAACAAAGTCATAATGACAACAATAATCTCTTATATAGTTTCTGTAACGGGAAACAAAGTCAGAATGGCAACAGTGTTATAATGACAGCATCCATCATAAGACTAACATACCCAGATATACAAAACAGAATCTCTCGCTCAAGTCACAAAATTGCTATCAAATAAGAGGAGATAGCCAAAATCTCTAAACAGAGATTGGAACATATCTTATTATCTTATTATCCTTTTGGCTGTTTTATAATCTAATTCCCTAATCTACAAAATCTCTCTGTGTTTTAGTTTTCTCAATCACCACATCAAGTTGTGGAACACAATTAATAATTTGGACTTTTTTTTTTTTTGTAAATCTTTATTTTGGTGTGCAACAAAAGATGAACATACAGGCTTGCTTTGCCACGACAACATCAGCACGCTTAATGTAGATAATGTAGACAAACATTTGCATTCAGTGCCATGACATGAGAAACAATTGCACTTTTTTATGTGTTAAAGAGACATGCTTCATTATATGCTGTAATATAAATCTTGAAATGTTACAGGCTAGAGTAGTGGAGCACAGGTTGGGTAGGCAAGTATTTTAAGTAGGTTAGTTAGCAAGATAGAAACAGGTTTAACAGAACATTTTATTCTACCCTGTGTGCTGGATAGTACACATATATATAGTGGCTGTCAGGCTTAAACATGTCTTAGGTGTGAAACTTATATATGCAGTGTGTGATATCTGCTGGGATCAGAGATTAGGTTCTGGTGGATATTGCATCGTTTTTACATTTAAGAGCCACCGAGTAGATAAATAAGTAGGGGAAACAGTGGTTTAAGTAGCTTGCTGGGGAGGAATCTCATGCTTGTAAAACATATCTAGTTCCCCTATGACTATAGTGCCTGGGTAGTAATGAAGGTACTCGTACGATATAAATCAGAGGCTGTACAGTGCTATGTTAAGTTACACGCTGCAAGTTACATCACTAGTTCACTAGGTACAGTGAGTGTTTCTGTGCAGGTCTAGGAGAGGGTGTTGGTGAGTGTCCTCAGCCCACTCCGCCTGGCGGGATAGCACGGTGGTCTTGGGAGGCCAGGTCCTCATGCCATGATGGGGGGCCCTGTCCATTCCACTCACATTCTTCCGCGGCAGGAGGTCTTTTGACCGGCCTGGGCGTGGGTCGTTTCCGGCTGCTCATGGTCTTGCGGAGTCTGCGTGCCAACTGCCTTCGGCCTGCGGCTGTAAATGGGACTCGTGCCGTCGTGCCATGGATCCTATTTTGAGGGTCATGGGCCCGGGGTGCTTCCAGTTCTCGGATAAATCCCCGGGTGTATGGCTGGCGTTGGAGAGGTACCTCCGTGTGAGTACCCGGCCCAGAAGAAGGGCATGCGGCTGAGACTGCAACATTCTCCATGTGCATGGCTGGGTGTGTTATTTCGGTTGGGCTGTTTGCTGATAGGAATTCCGCCTGGGGCTGTGTGGTGTAAGTGATAGGCTGCTGTGTTTGCTCTGCCCGGGCTGCAATCTGGCCCCAGAACGTTGCACATATCTTGTCGAAGGCAGCATTAAACCCTGTTTCCCATGTCGGTTCAGGGTGTTCCCTTGCTCCGTCGGCCATGTTGGTTGCGGCCCAGGAGCAGGAAGCAGCGGCATGTGTTGTTGGGATGCTCTCGGTTTTCTTTTCCCCAGCAGGGACCGGGATTACCCCCACCGGTCCAGAGGGGGGGGAACGGGTTGCTAGCATTTGCTTGGTGGTCCCAGGTTGGAGGATCGGCCGTTTCCTCCCTCCATGGGTCCCTCCGCCTGTGTAGGCCTCAAATGCAGTATTTGGCTTCAGGACGGCGGACGAGTCTCCAGAGTCGTCTGCTTGTGCTCCCCAGCAGTTATTTTCAGTGTGCAATCTCATTTGGTGCTGTTTTAGGGGTAGCATCTCTGTTTGTACTCGGTTTAGTTAGGATTGTGTGAGGAGCTCACCACACACACGTTTGTCAGCCATGCTGGTCAGGCCCCGCCCCCAATAATTTGGACTTTTAATCAAGATGTATTATGTCTTTCCTCATCAAAATTCTGGGGAATGGATGGTTTCAATTTTCCTGTCCTTGTGGTTGATTTTGTGTTGCATAACTCTCTCTCTAAAATGTTATGTTGTTTCTCCCATGTATGTTAATTCACACAGGCATTTAAATGTCTAAAAAACGTGTTGAGTTACATGCAGAAAAAAATATATATATATCTTTTAGGATATTTTATATTTGTTTGAGGATGTACAAAGGTATTACCCCGTATCACAGTACTACAAACACTACAATTAGTGCAAGTAAAATTGCAACATGTTTGTTTGTTAATCAGATTGTTCACTGATAAAAAGCTTTGCATAATGCACTTAATGGCTTGATGAAGACACACACCGTGTCAACAAATTGCCTGCCTTGCTGGATGGCTGAATATTACCGATACTTGATATATGTGTTACCTGATATACCGGAGTCTCATTCATTATTTTTGATTACGATAGTTAATAGGTCAGGGATGTTCCTATGTAGAGGCATGTAGAGGCAGTTAATATGTCAGGGCAGGCCGCACTAATTGCAATTTAATGGTAGATTGAAAAGTTATGGCAGGCATCACAGGTCTATATATTTCGAGAGGCCAATATATTTGTTTTGGACACAAAAGTTCACATACATTAGATAAAAATATAGGCTATTTGATCAGGGCTGGCAGTGCATATTAATATATGAATGTAAAGACAAATGGGTCAGGGCAGGATGGTGCTATTATAATCAATTAAAAACACTCCAAATGATCTGGGCCAGCAGTGAGCAGCTAAAATACATATTTAGTAAAGAAGCAATTCTTAACCAAAATGTCATTATTCTGTTTTAAATATCAAACCTAATGCAGTTTGTGAGGACAAAAGAGACAAAAAAATCATTTTGCATTGCGACACAAGCATGATAATTGTAAAAATGTTGATCAGTCCCCCTTAGTCTTAATCCTGCCCATCCAACAGCTGTCCCATCCCATGCAGTCACCTTATGCCTCCTTACTATACCCCCTGAGAAGGGCATGGGAGAACTATGACAAATTTCCTATTCATGTCATTCATGGTGGTATATAAAGTATATTAATACATCAGTCATTATCATATGCAAGTCAAAGAGGGATGTAAATTACATTGAAATGCCCTGTCAAATCAATATGCCAATTTTAATTATATGCCAATCACATCAGTATATAAATTATATTGAAATGCCAGTGCCAGTTTTATTGATATGCCAATCAAATCAGTATGTAAGACCCTGAAATGCCAGCTATGTTGACATGCCAATCATGTCAAAAGATCAATCATGTCAATATGCCAGTCACATTGGTAGACCAATCACACTGCTATGCCAACCGCGTCAATGTATGTACTTTGACTTCTGAAAAAGATATGCAGAGTTATATTTCACTTGGATGACTAAGTGAGATTTTACAAAGTAGTACTCTGTGAACCAAAATAAAAAAATGCATAGGAAACGCAGCCTCCAGTATCGGTTGAACAATAGCACGATGAAGCTTAAAGTATGGGGACACTTAGTACAATGGAACAAATTAACTGTAGAAATTGCTACTTGAGATCCTTTCAGTTATAATGTGTTGCTCACCTTTCGGACAGTCAGTCGAATTAGATATTATTAGTATGGGCTGAGATAAATTTGCCAGCATTCTGAACACTCTTTTTAATAGTATTGTGAAATGGACAAGAATTATAAAAGAAAATTATAGTAGTTTACAGCTTATGTGGTCTGCACTGTCAGGTTCATCGTATCGGTCGTAGAATTATTGCAAAAACAACTGCCAGATTTTTTTTTTTCAACATTTTGTTTTTCCTCTGAATATTTATTATATATTTAAGTTAAATGGACACTATCGTCACCTAAACTACTTTAGCTTAATTAAGCAGCTTTTGTGTATATATCATTCCTCTGAAGTCTCACTGCTCAATTCTCTGCCATTTTGGCGTTAAATCACTTTTGTTTTTGTTCATGCAGCCCTGGTCACATCTCCCCTGGCTGTGACTGACAAAGCATGCATGGAAAAAAATGATTTCACTTTCAATCACATGTAACTTGTTTTAAAAGTTGTATCTCCTCTGTAAATTGATTTTTAATTACATATAGGAGGCTCCTGTAGGTTCTATCAAGCTATTAACAGTGCAGGAGGCAAGAAATTTAAACTAAACAGAATTTGCAATAAAGGAAGTGGAAACATTAGATCACTCTTTACAGGAAGTGTTTAGGAAAGCTGTGTAAGTCACATGCAAGGAGGTGTGACTAGGGCTGCATAAACACATTGATTTAACACCTAAATGGCAGAGAATTGAGCAGTGATACTGAATGGGCATGATATATATACCAAAACAGTTTCATTAAGCTAAGGTTGTTTTTGTGCCAATAGTGTCCCTTTAAAATTAAAATGTTTACTGTTTATACAAATGGACACACAATGTATATTTGTGTGTCTATATAAGACACAGCTCTAGGCTGATCCCTTGAAGGTATGAGGGAACAACCTTTAAACAAATTGAGGCTTAAACCTCAACTTGGTTTAAATGATATATTTATATGTTTGAATGTATATGTAGTATGTATAATAAATCTGTACAGATGTGGGCCAACAGAGAGAGGGAGGAGTTTTACACGTTAAGATGTTCAAGATGATCACGTTGAAAGTCCAGGGCTTGAACTCACCAACGAAAAAGTCTTTATTGTATAATTACTTGATTAAAGAACACATTGATTTATGTTTTGTCCAAGAAACACACTGGACACAAACTGAGCAAATAACTTGGGGTGGGAAAAAACAAATCCAACTATTATTCATGCCTCAGACAGATCAACAACAAAAATGCAGCGTGGCAATAGTATTTGCACAAAAAGAAAAATATGTGAGGATCTGTACAGGGGTTCCAGATAGAATACAAAAAATTTTTGAAAAAATATTGTACTCACTTATGCAGCAAAACGTCCCACACTGCTGCTCATGCAGTGGAAACATACAGGGTAGATAGAACAAACAAGAGGCTGCGCGAGAAGTTGCTGTATGCACACCAAGGTGCTACTGGTATTTATCTGAAGGACAGAATATCACAAACGTTTTCGGATATTCCATTTCTCAATGCACCCTCAATGTCCCTTCATTCCTTCAAAAAAATACCAGTGGCACCATGATGTGCACAGAGCACCTTTTTGCTCAGCCTCTTGTTTGTTCTATATACCCGACAATAGTATTTGGAGAAAGATTAAAGGTTGAAATAATACATAAATTATGTGATCCAGAAGGGAGATTTCTAGCAGAGGTCTGTAAAGTAAATGAAAAGGTATATACTTTGTGTAACATTTACCTCCCAAATAAATCCCCTACTACTTCCCTAAGAAAAATAATGGAAAAACTGGAAGACATAAAAGTTGGACAGTTTATACTAGCTGAGAAGCTGGAGATTTTAACTCTGTGCTAGATCCCAAAGTAGATAAAAAGCTGATGAGAGGTGTTACCATTAAAAAAAAAAAACATTAAAAATGGTTATCAAACAGGCAAAATCTCTAAGTAAAATTAAAAATGGTTTAATCTATAGGATATTTGGAAAGTTTTTCATACTGACGACCATGATTATACTCATTTTTCAAGAGTAAATTTTTCTTACTCTAGATTAGATATGATCTGGATAGATTTTACTCTTCTGGATTCAATTGCTAAAACCGATATTATAGATATAACCTGGACAAACCGTAACGGGGTAGTATGTGAAATTGTAGCAGCAAAAAATATTAAAGCAACTTATTATTGAGGCTTATTGAAATCAGATCTTAATATAAAATCAAATCGAACTAAATATTAAAAGATATTGAGAAAACAATTTGACTGACGACATATCTCCAACCAGGGGCGTACCTGGAGCATTTGGCACCCGTGGCTCATTCGATATTTGGCACCCCCCCCCATCTTTAAAATGTAAAAAACACCCACACATTTTTTTTATGTATTTAGCACCATGCAGTGATGTATTGTTTTAACGTATTTAGCACCAAGCAGTGTTTGTGTTTGAATATAAGCATGTTTTTGTATGGAGTGTGTTTTCACGTATTGGCATTTGAATGCAAGTGTGCATTTTTCTGTAGTGTGGTTTTTTAATATGGTGGTGTGTTTTTATGTAGTGTTGACATTTGGATGCAGGGTTGTATTTGTGTGTAGTGTAGGTGAAATGTTGAGATGTATGCACATATACACATATACTCACATATACACAGACACATAGGTACACACATGCAGTTACATAGCAACACAGTCATTCACAGATACAGACAAACACTGACACGCACACATACAGACACACAGAGAGAGACACACAGGCACAGACACACATACAGATAGACACACACACATATAGACACACTGATACAAACACAGACACACAAACAGATACACATACACACACTGACACATACAGATAAACATATACCAACACACAAACAGATACACAGACATAGAGATACACAGACACACATGTATACGTGTGTGTCTGTGTGTGTTTGTATAGTGAATGCAGTGTGTGTTTGTATAATGAATGCAGTG